CCGCCGCGTAATCTCTTTCATCCGGTACTCCCGTATCGGGTAAGAGGAAAGCTGCTTTTCGCACTGTGTCGAAGCTGCTGCGAAACTTTCTCGCAGGAAACGTGCACTCACGATCGTCCCGACGAGCGTGAATTCGAAGGTACTTGGGTATCCTGCGAATTACGCAAAGCCATCGAGAAGGGCTATCTCGTGACGAGCGTTAGTGGAATTTGGCAGTATAAAGTCACACGATACGATCCCAATACTCGACAGGGAGGTTTGTTTGCCGAATATATAAATACATTTCTACAATTAAAGCAGGAAGCTAGTGGATGGCCGAGCGAATGCGGGGATAACGATGACGATGCTAAGGAACGTTACCTGAGGGAATACGAAAAAACCGAGGGTATCGTTCCCGATAGAAATAACATTACTCGAAATTCCGGTTTGCGTTCGGTCGCTAAGCTTTGTCTAAATTCATTTTGGGGAAAATTCGGCCAGCGAACCAATCTGCCTAATACTGAGATCGTAAAGTCATACCAACGATTAATGACTTTACTCACGAGTCCGGAGCATGAGATAACTGATATATTACCCGTCAATAACGAGGTACGTTTCGTGGCGGCTACGTGAAGAGGCGGTCGCATCTTTTCCGATGACGAACATCGTAATCGCGGCAAATACGACGGCGTTAGCGAGATTAAAATTATACGATTATTTAGAAAAATTAGATAAGCGCGTTTTATATTACGATACAGACTCATGTATCTACTTAAGTACCGGTGAGCCGAATGAGTACGAACCGCGTACGGGTAATTTTCTGGGCGATATGACGGATGAACTCGAAAGCTACGGCCGCGGTAGTTATATCGAGTCGTTTGTTTCTGGTGGTCCAAAATTTTACTCGTATATCGTTCGTACGCCAGAAGGACGCACGCATGAGGTCTGTAAAATAAAGGGAATAACACTTAATTTTAAGAATTCGATCGTTCTAAATTTTAATAGTATTAAGAAATTAATTGAAGAAAATGAGAGAAAAAGGCGAGAAGCAGAAGAACAAACGGCGGGGAAAGCGGTGATAAATTTGCATTTTACAGCAATTCGGCGTACTGCGTTTCATGAAATTATAACACAAAACGAGACAAAGTCATGTGCGCCGGTAAAACGTAAATTTATTAATAATCGTTATTCTTTCCATACGGTTTCGTAGATGAATAACCTTTCTCTTGCTCGAACTTTCTCTTTCGTTTTAAGTTAGCAACGTTGTCGAGTTTTCCGTCCATTAGTATAATTA